TGTCAGCGAGTGGATTTACAGAGACTTATATTTACATTCAGCCTGTGTGCAATTTCTGTCTGGCCAAAAAAACGGACCGAATTTGCATGCCCTGCTGTACATTTTGACCGTTTGATGAAAAACAAGCTTATGTGGATTCAACACATTTGAACAATTCAGATAAGTTATCTAGCATTATTTAAGGAGCAGATAAAATGCATATAATCATTTATTAATCAATTATCATTTTGACTTATATATATTCTTTGTTTAAAGGCTGAAATGTGAGGTTTACTTTTTTATTAAACTTTTTAAAAACTTTATTTGAACATTTACATTAGATATTTCAACATGCTATTAAACTGTTGTCAGTCAAGTTGTCATTTAAAATCTGAACATCATTGGTAATGTTATTGTTTTAGTGATTATGCAAACAAAAACATTTTATTTGTTGTTTGTTGATTTTTAAATATAAAACTTGGTTAAGTGATTTATGTATCGATACTTTTTGAACATCTCCAGCACATTTGAACAATACCGTGATAATATTGATAACCGTGATAATTTTGGTCACTATAACCGTGATAAGAAATTTTCATACCGTTACATCCCTATTAGGGATGTACCGAAGCTCGGTGAGTTTAAAAGCCAACTGAAAACATATTTTTTTATGTCTTTTTGTCCTTATTTAGGATATATTTAGACTGTTTCTTTTTGAATATTTTTAAGTAGATATTTGGTTATGATTTTTAAATGTTTTCCCTTCCTAAATGTTTTATTGTTTGTACAGTACTATGGTCAACTCTGTTGCTTTACTCAGTGCTTGAGAAATAATTTTGACATTTTAATTTGAGTTTACGACACCAAAACCTGAAAATTCTGTCATAATTGACTAATTCTCCTGTCATTCTAAACATTAATGGTTTCCCTCTTCTGTTGTCTCTGTTTTTTGTCTTACACAAAGTCAGCATGAAATGGAAATTCACAAATTCTCCAATCATTTAGTCCACTTAAAGCCTGCCTCTTTCTTACAATTGACTAGAAACTTGCATTCAGATGAGTCTCCATCCAATCACACCAACAATTTGAACTAAGTACCTGTAATATATTTTTCCTTCTTTGACAAGCTCTTTCATTTGGATTTTAATGACATGGAAGAAAAGATATGTTGCTACTTCTGTTTCATCACAACTTTAGAAAGTCATACACATTTGGAATGACATGGGGGTGAGTAAATGACAACAGAATTTTTTTTTGTGAACTACAGTATACCTTTGACGGGATTTCTCACATTTTCAGCATGCCACATTTTTACTTTTAATGACTGTACTCACATTTCAGGTTGTTTTTCAAACATATGTTATTGTTACAGGTCTTTGTACATGCAGGGCAGCTTGTTTCCTTTTTTGTTACATTACAATTACTCACTTTCCTGTTACTTTTGATTAATATAATGCATCCTTTCAGCATTAATTCCCCCCCCCCCCCCCCAAAAAAAAATACAAAAAAATTACGAGTGAAGACTGACTTTTGTAGATTTCTATCATTGTGGCTGGAGACAAACCCAGGATTTGAGGTAAATCATGATTTTATCATTGCGAATGATATCATTAGGTGGATGATTTTACCAAAGTGTAGGCATTTGTGTTTTTGTGTTTGCATTTATTGATCACAGTTCAGAGGTACACAGAATAAGTAATTAAACCAGCGATTGTTAAGTCTGATCAATGCAAAATATTATTGGTAGTGAAACATATTTTAAGCAGTAAAAATAAATGTAGCAAAGTTTTATTTTCATGTTTAACTTTTTTAATTGTCACATTTAATATTGAAGTGTTGTTACTGTACATGTTTGAGGTTTGTATTCAAATGCCTGTTACATGTCTAACAAATTAAAATACTGAGAATAAAGTTTTCTTAAAAAAAAAAAAAAAACTTTGTACATTTCTTCAATATAAGTAAACCAAATGTCCTGGCTTGATAATAAATTTCATTAGCATAGTAGAATATATGAAGATTTTTTTCCTGTAAGCGTGGGTGATTGTTGGGAGACATTATGTTTTCTATAGTTCTATAGTTATAGTCTGAGTTATAGGTTAGTTCAGCTATTAAGCAACTGATCGTCAGCACTTTATATTAGTTTCCCATTTAACTCTCTTCCATTGACAGCTGAAGGCTATTTAGGAGAAAACAGCCCAGTTTATTCTTGCAGTGTGATGGTTGGATGGTACCATACGATAGAAGGGGGAAGTTGCAAAAGTGTGAAAACTGCTAAGACATGTAAATGTGTAACAAGGGTTTCGTCATCTGATTGGTTGAATTATACAGGATTTCTGGGAGATGTGTGTGTCGCATTCTTAAACATTCCGCCTGGAAACAAAGATGCCTTGTCGCCAAATCCCCTCATGTTAGATGAAAGCTGTCGTGTTTACAATTGTGACAATGAGCGCTTATCAGGATCAACTAAGTTTTCAAAAGTATGTGAAATATGTAAAGTTCGTGGCATAGACTCTTTAAAATATGTCCAAGAGATTTACACACTGGTCTGTTATTGTGGGGACATTTCCATGCCCCTAAACATGATGCGGCACAAAACAAACATGATTAGTTGCTTTACCTGTCAGTCATGTGGGCTCTTAGGTGGTCCTTGGCCATTCAAAGCGGCCAAGGTTCCTAGACCTTATGCTGTCAGTCTGAAGGTCTGGCTATGCGAGACTAGGGTTTGATATACCTTACAGTCATCTGAAGCACTAAGACACCACTGAGCCTACCTTCACATCCCGGTGAATGATGTTGTTGTCATGGCAGTACCGCAAAGCCTCTAGGATCTGTCTCATGTAGTGACTAAAACAGAAGGAGAGCAGAGAGGAAGATGAAAAAGAGAGAAACCCATATTAACTTCAAATTTTATTGGCCTTGTCTACCTAAATGGAAAGAAAATTTAACTAGGTTTGGAACTACATAATGGTGAAATAGGGATGCAGCGATTAACCGATTTGACTATTAATCGCGTTTTAAAATCGTCACGGTTAATTAATCGCAAAAGGCTCCACTACACAGAGTGTTTCTGTTTCATGGAATGGAACTGTTGCAACTTGCACAAAACAAAAACAAAGTTACATCAGCGGTGCAGCAGCTTAAAGTGCCATGCTTATCAGAGACACGGAGGATACTACACACACTAGATTAACTATGACAGAGGGACCAAACAGCGAAGATTTATGTCCACCAAAGAAATGCCTGAAGTCGATAGTGTGAGAGCATTTTGGGTACACCAAGAATGGCCAAGGCGTCAGTAGGCACGTTTCCATTACCCTTCAAACTGCGCAAATTGAAATTGCGAATTGAAAATACGCCTAATGGAAATGTATCAATTTCGCAAAAATGCCAATATATCGCAAAAACGTTTTTACGCTCACATGAGGTGTTTTTTCAGGCAATGCGAAAAAGGAATAATTCGCAAAACTGCAATGGAAACGGCTTTTTTTTTTCTCGCATTTACAGGTCACATGGCGTATATGTAAAAAGTCATATGATAATTTTTCAATGTACTATAACCTCCAAGAAACACTTCATAAGTGGCCGCTCTCCAGTATAAGGGGCTTTTCTACCATTAATGCTTAGACAATTTACACTGCACACGTCTGCGGTGCAGTGTGGCTCTGATACGGCCACTGAAGCTGACTGCGGCCACTCTAGTCAATGCTTGTGTTTATTCCAGCCGCGCCACGCACGTTTCTGAAGTGGCTCTCTGTGCTGCTTCTGTAAAGATACACGCATACGCCTCCTTTGAATAAATATAGAAAAAATCTGTTAAAATCCCACCAAAATCCGTTGCCATGACTTATTGCGAGCGGCAAAAGGTTACGTTTTAGTCGCATAACATTGGTTAATGGAAACGCCGTCATTTCGCAATACTTTTTTTTCGAACTTTTTTATTGCGCAAATCTGTAATGGAAACGTGCCTATTGAAATATTGTCGTAAAAAAAGTTACTGTTAAAGGAGCGACTACATAAAGGATAATGAACGGCTAGCTGTGCATTAAACGATTTTAATCCACGACGTGAAGACAAGAACCACCCGATGCAAAGCTACGGCTTGTTAGCTCTAGCATTCTGCCCGCTTCAAATTAGACAGAGATGAAATAGTGCGGTAAGATCACATTTATTTGAATGAGTTAATTATAACATTTATTTGAATGAATTATTCAATCGATCTCTCTCTCTCTCTCTCTCTCTCTGAGAGAGAGAGAGAGAGAGAGAGAGAGAGAGAGAGAGAGCGAGCGAGAGAGAGAGAGAGAGAGAGAGAGGTGACAGTTGTGTGTGTGAATTACCTGCGTCTGCGCGTCTCTCTACAAACAATGAAGCTGTGAGTTTAATTACTTCAAAAACAAATTTTTAATTTTTAATTTTACCCCCTTGTTGCTGATGAATTAAATGTAGCGATCCATTATTTAAGCTATTTTATTAATAAAAGTCGCGAGGCAGCACTGACAACAAGTTTCTGTACTCTTTTTTTTCTTTTCTTTGTGTGCACAGCACGGTCTCCGATCTCACAAACCAAAACAATAGACATGATTTTCTCAGGCCACATGTAAAATTAGATGAATTATTAAAAAGATTATTAAAATGAATATGTATGGATGAGAGTTGATGACAATAACAATTAATTCCCCTCATTCGTAACAGTTTCCCCTGGGGGATAAATAAAGTTAATATTAATAATAATACTTAATTAACATTGTGATTTACTATCCCTGTTAAAGTATTATTAATTTTTAAAGTCAAAAACCAACAAAATCTTTTTTTCCACCATGTTTCCAAGTTCTCTACCTCAGGTCCAAAAGAAACGTAGAAAGAATGCACAAACTAAATAATTTTGAGATCTATTTCCATTTGTTATTTTCAAAAGGGAAATACTGACATGGATGTTTACGGAGCAGAGGTCACTTTTCTTTTTTTTTCCAATGGGAGAGATGAACTTTTGTTTATGCTATTGTTTATTATTTTATGCTGTATTATTTGGTTACTATGTTATTTCTGCTTCATTTTCAAAAGGGAAATACTGACATGGATGTTTACGGAGCAGAGGTCACTTTTCTTTTTTTTTCCAATGGGAGAGATGAACTTTTGTTTGTCTTTATTATTATTTTATGCTGTATTATTTGGTTACTATGTTATTTCTGTTTCAAAGGCAGCAATAAACAACACTGTAAAATCTTAAGAGTGTTCATGTGGTTTTATACATTAGTAGTGTTGTGAAATTAATTAATGCATAATAATCGTGATAACCGTGAAACAGTGATTATTTCTCAGAATATAATCGTACCAACAAAATCTATAACTGTTGCATCCCTAATGGTGAATAATTTTCTTTTTGGAGGTTAACTATTGCTTTTAACATAGAAATCTCAGTATACAACTTTAAGAAGAGCACAGGAACAGGAAATGGATGAAATTGTCCTCAAAGGGGTTTACCTGGCTACTGCCTCACTGTAAACAAAACCAGCGTCTGCTCTCTTCACAATCTCAAAGCAGAGATCTGCTCCATCCATGCTGAAAGACAGAACAAGACAGGAAACTCATCAGCAATATAAAGTCAAATACTGGCACAATCAGTTTTAAAATCTAATTCTAATTTAACTCTACAAGAAATAAATACAAATCTAAGATACGAGCCAAAATCCCTGCATAGGTCTATATGGGTGATTCTCAAGAAATCTTAGTTAAAGACTTCAAATATTAATTTTAAAAAAATGTTTGTATCAACAAATTTCCTTTTCAAGCATTAAGAGCAAGGTCTGAAGTGTTGATGAGCATAAATTTAAAAAAGTTGAACATATTTTCCAAAACAAGTTCTTAAATATCTCATTACTGCAACAGTCTGAAAACGTCAATGCCATTAGGAAAACGAATACATTTTCACATTTTTAAAAATGGATTATTAACAGTCATGCACAGTTACTTAAAATATTTTTTTAAATTAACATTTTCTTTTATTTTCAATTATTTCTCTCATTACCACAACACCTTCTGCAATTTGCAAACTAATGTTTTTATTATTTTATTGAAAACTGACATATTTTCATGTGGCAAACCTGATAGAACATCATGTATAGATTCTGTACATATATTTAAAAGCAAACTACAATTTTTCCATTTATTAAATAAACATTAAAAGAACAGTTTGCACACTACTACACCTGTGTGTAACTGTCTCAGACTTTTGTTACTGTCCTGTGCCCATCATCCACTATTTCCACCACTTAACCAAGCCACTCTTCTTTAAAGCATGATGACATTTTATTTCACGTCATTTTGCTTGCATTAGCTCTTGTGTTGAGCTATTTTGTCCGCAGCCATTAAAGTATTCAATTTGTACAGCGACTGATTTGGCGCACATCATTCTCTCTCTATGAAACCTGTAGACCGCATTCACCGGTTCTATGGTGACACCAACTCTATAGCGGTTTGTCCGAGCATCGCAATTATTTCGCATTTCATTTATGTGTCTGTCCTGTGCACGGCATATTATTTCTTCTTCATGTTATGTTCATGCTTACAATGAACATAACATTATCGTCTGTTGGTGTGTGGACACTAATACTGTTATCATTATAGTTATCAAACAGTTACTGTTCTTAGAACGGGCCTTTAGGGCCCAATGTCCTAAAGTGAAATAATATGACAACTGACTTGTGAGGGCATTTTATGTGTAAATATATAAAATATATATTTTTATATTTAAATCTATTGATTTGCACAGGTTTCTGTGAGGGTTAGGTGTCAGGTTAGGACACAGAAAATATCATAAACCTGACATATATAACAGTGGAAGCCTATCAGTGTTCTCACTAATATAGTGAAACAAAATTGCTTCGCAAGGACTAAATGTCTGCTAAATGTAGTGTATATTCACTTTTCAGGTCTCTACCCCTACATTTTAAGGACATCCAGCTGTCCCCGTAAATCAAATGGCTAAATAAACATACAGTGTTTTATAAAAAATTTAAAATGGCTTTCTGTAAGGGTTGTGTTTTGGGGAAAATATCAGCTCAGTATAAAAATCATTACACCTATGGATAGTTATCATAATGATAGATGTACCAACATGTTTGTGTGTGTGCGAGCGTGCACATTTGTGTAGGCTTCTCAACACTGTAGTGTTTTTTTGCTAATTACTCTTGCTGTAACCTCCAACCTATAACCTCTCTCTCCTTCCTGGAGAGTTGGTGGAAATTTTTTCTCTGAAATTTGTCACCCTAGCCTTTCCTTAAGCTTTCTTTTAGTCACTTGCTTACTGTCTACAATGAAATAGGACATAAGGCAAAATATCAACAGTTATTAAATAACATTTAAATTAATAACTCATTATATACACATTTAAAAATATGTCTGTACGATTGAATTCTCATTACCGAAAAATAAGTTCTCTCTATTGCAACTGGCCTTAAATTGTTGCAGTAAGTGAGAATGGTGATTTAGCCATTTTTTACTCAATGTACATAATCAGACATTATTGAAGTATATTGTTAATCTGATGTTTTTCTAAATGTGGAAAACTACCTGTTTCAGTAATAATAATCCATTTGTTGTGTACATGGTCTGACAAGAGAATTTTTTACTTTTAAATGGAAAAATATAAAGAGATCTGCCTACCTGGTTGCTATTTTGAAGGTTCTGCCATATTTATTTTTTTTGTGAAAAGTTGTCTGTGAGGACCGAAATAAAATTATTGATTGGTTGATTGATTGATGTGTTGCTGAATTCAAAATTTTGAAAAAATAAATAAATAAAATAAAGTGTGTGTGTAAACGGTCCTTAAAAAAATGTTGCGGAGGATGAGAACATCAGTCATGGATGCTTAATTTTTCCACTATTGTATCATTATTATTATAAATTAATATTCAGTCTGTAATTTTTCTGTCATGTGAAAACATCTAGCAGAATATCCATTTACTTTTTTCAGAATATATTCATTTTAATGTTTAAATTACAGCATAACATAAATTCTAAATAATTACTTGCTATGTTGAAATTACTCTTTGTGCAAGGCAGAGAACAGTATAGTCTTTATTATGTTTTTTTTATATTACTAAATTGCATGTTTAATATTTAAAATAATTAGTGCCATGGTGTTTTAATAGTTGAATGAAAATAACCCATATATTAAACTTTAAAAACTGTTTTCAAGAACTGTGATGATATTGTAGTTTTGCTTCGCTGGTACTTGCCTATTATCTCTGAGCACAAATTGAACAATGAATTGTGGACTGTGTGGACTGGGTTAATTGTGGCCATTTTCAGAAATGAAAACTTCCCAATGCTTTAACACCAAGACCATAACCGTGTTTTTTCCAGGGGCAGCAAAGCCCCTGGTTTTGTGTCGGATCAGGTCTCTAAGGCCTTTAAAGAAAATCCCTTGAGAGGCAGCTGTGCTTCTCCAGATAAGAACTCACACTGCATGAAAGTTATTTGAGAAAATGTATGCACTTATGAACCTTTAGCATTTGAGGAATTAAAAAGATAACCCTATACCACAAAACTGCTGAGAGAGTAACAGACACAGGCTACTCAGGACAGAGAACAGCATGTTCATGCATTACAATATGCTTCAAAATAACCTTGAAGCAACACAAAACTCCTTTCACATACTACATACTAAAACCACAAGGATGTTTTGGACTTTCATTGCATTTGGGATTTTATGTGAATAAAGAATAATGGAATGATGTAGTGCAGATTTGCTCAGAATGAAAGACTTACAACTCAAACACCATGTAGAGCATCCCATCAGAGCTGTAGGTCTCCAGAAGCTCCACTATGTGAGGATGTTTCAGCATGTGGCAGATGCTCGCTTCCCTCTTCAGATCTACAGAAAGACAAAAAGGCTCATTTCAGTTTCAAATCAAGTCAAGTTTATTAAGATAGCATAATATTAGATGGCCACCCTGCCTGCATGGAAGTCCTATTACCAGTTTTGTGAACCATACACAACGCATGACTCATAACTATACCAAATTAGGAACAAAGCAAAACATGAACTGGGATTCAACCAGAATTTTATAAAAAACTGAATTAGATTAAGTACACTTTCTGCTTGAATTTACACTGTTTTTCCGTCCATGTTACATACGTTAAATTTTACATCAACTCAACTTTGATCAAATTTTACTAGTTTACCATTGCCAGATTTATCCTGCTTTTCACACAGCTGTACCCCAGGTTTTCTCAGGATGTTAACCTGAGGACAATGGCTTTCTCCATGAAGATTGATTTTGCAGGCTATTGTCCTTGCAATTAGGCCTAAACTGTGGAATCGCCCAGCTCTTCTTTTACAGTACATATTGCTTCATCCTTGAAGCCACTGAGAATTACTATGCTTAATAAAGGACCAAAGATCATTTTCAGTTTAATTCAATTTTGTACAAAATAATGTATTATTTTTTAGCAACATACAAAAAAAAACACTTGTATGCAAAGGTTTTATAACAATTCTAAATTCAAGCATGAGGAATGATGCCATTTTATTTAGACGTTTATTGTCTGTAATATCTCAATTTAACACAAAAAGTCAAGCTCAGCACCATATTTCTCACCTGCATCTTTCACTACTAAAACTAGTTTTTATATGGTCATTCAGATGCAGGTTTTCGCACAAATCTGTGTAGACAACCCCCAACACACACACTGCTGCTCTTCTCCTCTGTAATTAAAACGGTTGGCATTCAAGAATCACACAGCCCTAAGAAGACAGGAAAAACGACTGTTTAACAAACCAGATGTGATGTGTGAATCCAATCGAGCCTGGCCGAGAAAATTACAAAAATGTATGAACAAGTATTCTGCATGTGTGAACCACATTAACTTTAGACCACAGTCCACAGATATCTATATAACAGTCACACTTCTACGACTTCTTAAGTTCCACATAGACTTTTTGGTGCCATGAGTGGTACGTGTGATTCACATATATATGCGTCTCATATGCTTTGATCAAGGAATTACATGGTTAAAACTTTATAAATCATTCAATACAAGGTAAAAAAAATGTCAATGATGTCAATTTTGTCCAGACCAACTAATGTATTAAAAAAAAACAACAACAACAAAAACAATGTCTGCCACATCAAAGTCATGCTGTGCAACCATTGCACAGACCATGAAACAAGAAATTACATAATAATGAGGACCTTTAACGACTTTTATGACAAGGTTAATGAATCTCTTAAAATATTAGATTATTGAACATTATGACAAATCCCCCGACCCCTCTAAAAAATATTTATGAATTAGTCATTCTTGATATTTGTAACCAAGTAAGTAAGTACACTCAAAAAAAAAATGCTGGGTTAAAAAGGGACAACCCCAGCTATTGGGTTGTTTTGACCCAGCGGTTGGGTTGTTTTGAACCCAATCACTGGGTCAAAACAACCCAATAGCTGGGTTTGTCCCTTTTTAACCCAGCATTTTTTTTTTAGTGTAAGAAAATAAATAAATCATCCCTTTATTATCCCCCATTTCTCAGTAAATTCCACTATCAAACACTTGGAGAGGCTGTGGAGCTGCAAAAGCATCAAATAAAAGACTAGCCTATGCTTTGTGTCACAATCTAAGCATGAAATTAGTGTGTGAGAGACAGCTTTATTATATTTACTTATGGTATTTAAAGCTAAAACAGTGTACATTGGCTCAACAAATAACTGTATTTTGTTTAATACAGACAGATCAGATAGAACAGGAAATGTGCACCTCAGTGTGTCAGATGTGCTAACCACAAGGCCATGACTCGGAATAACAATATGCATCACAACATGTACATGCATATAAAAGTACTTCACTCTTTTCTAAAAACTCCTCTCCGTTCTTTTAAAATATATGCACTTCCTCCCTATAGTGTAAAGTCCTCCCCCCTTCTCTGACTTGTTTCATTATCTGTGACCCAGTTGGCAAGTGTGGGAAAATACCTCTTACTGTATATCATTACAGATTACAGTGAAGCTACACAGAAGACGTGCAGTGTCTGATGCATGAAGTTGGCTTGTTGCAATGCAAAAAAACACTGCAAACATTTAAATCAACATCTGCTCAGTTCAGAGCCGGGCCCTACGCAAAACTGTGTCGGCGGGGAGATGGGTTATGAATGACGAGTTATGAATGAATGAAACGCCTTTGTCCGTTTGAGAAACGGTGTCTCTTCCGCCGCTCATTATGCTTTCAACTCATTTTTTTTGTATCGAGTAAGACACTATGACATTCACGTTACATGATTTGACTGATTTTTACGTAGAAAGGGTGACAGCCCACCGCATTAAAAGAAATTACATAAGCGGTTTTCATAACCGCTGGCCAAATTCAAAAACGAAACTAGAATTAAATTAACTTTGAGAGCAAGGGGGCCCCTTGGTGTTTCGGGGGCCCTACGCAGCTTGCGTACTTTGCGTATAGGGAGGATCGGCTCTGGCTCAGTTGAGGAACCTAAGTAATAGTACTCTATCTAAGAGAGCGAACATCAATAAGACCGACCAGCCCAGATGCTTGTTTCTGATAAGCCATAAAACAGACACTCTCCTGAGTAATTTATGTAGACTACTGCATGGATCTTCTTTATCTAAACCACCACTCAGACATTGTAGATGAGATTTTAAGTTAAGGGATTGCCAATGGAGCAAAATAAAAAAAATAAAGTGTTTTTATGACATTAACTATGACCCACTTATGTTTGATAAACATTTCATCTTCAACTTGAAATGTTTTAACAGACACTCTCCTGAGTAATTTATGTAGACTACTGCATGGATCTTCTTTATCTAAACCACCACTCAGACATTGTAGAAGAGATTTTAAGTTAAGGGATTGCCAATGGAGCAAAATAAAAAAAATAAAGTGTTTTTATGACATTAACTATGACCCACTTATGTTTGATAAACATTTCATCTTCAACTTGAAATGTTTTGCTTGTAAAATGTGCTTGAACTATCATGCCTTAAAATAACAAAATGTCAAACCATGTAGCATTTATTCCAAATCAAACATTACTGTTCAAATGTTTGGGGTCAGTATAAATAAAAATAATTTCATCTGGATTAAACCGATCAAAAGTGGCGGTTACAAAAGCAAGACATTTATAAGGTTACAAAAAAATTATATTTCCCAAAAACTTTTTGAAAATTCAGCTTTGTGTACAGAGTATAGCCTTTAATGCGCATGCAAATGGCCCGGATTGAGAGCACCGGGAGAAGTTGCCAGGCTACCGGAATTGATTTGAATATTGTTGCGTCCGAGCGGCCGCATCATCTTACTGGGATGAGGGGACTCGCGGAAACAGCTTAATATCAAGAATATGATATTTATTAACAGACTGAACAGGGACAACTTTTTATCTTAACATCAGCTCACACACCCAATCGACATTCCTTTGGGGGGCACTCTTATTTAACCCTTTTTTAATACACTACAAATATATGTGGGATTATTAGCAGAAATCATACCATGTGTTATGCTCACGGGGACAGTATGCTTGGAAATAATATTTAATGTCTTCCATTGCTTTCGTTATTTGTAGTGCGCCAGCCACCCAATAGTAATAAGCTTTGTGCTTTTGGTAGGCCTACTTTTAATATAAGTCTCAGCTTTCAAAATCAGTTTTAAAGCGAAACAAATTATGTGTCTTACGTTACAATAATGTGTTTTTCAAGCTCTTTAATGATCAGATCGCTGTATTTATGTGAACCAATTCATTAAATTTCACCAATTCCACCACCTACTCTGCTAAAACGTCTGTGGCGTCCAAACTTCCTCACATGTAGCCTATTTAATTAATAAAACATTCTAAAAGTTGAAGTGGGCTCCAACTCATTAACATAAGTTATAGCCTATTGTTTTCTTTTCTGAGGTAGCCTGTATGCTATAACATGTATGTGACTATTCACAAGCTGTTTTATTCATGGTATAATACAGTAAATAATTGGACATAATATTTAACGTCTTCCATTCATTATTTGTAGCACGCCAGCCACCCAGTAATCGCAATAATTTTGTGCTTTGTTGCTTTTAATATAACACAGCTCAGCTTTCTAATTCTGTCAGTTTTATCACGAAATACAAATTATAAATGTGTTTTCCTCTTTATTTCAAGTTTAATATCAGAAGGCATGAAAAAACTGTATATCTTAATTTATAATGAAAATAATGTCTCATTATTGTAATCGGAAAGACTCACATGCTGCTTAAACTGAAGCGAATACAGCGATCTGTCACGCCACATTAAAGAGCGTGAAAAAAAACACATTCTTGTAATATTGTTTGTATTTCGCTATAAAACTGGCAGATTCTGAAAGCTGAGACTTTGGAATATCTCCCGGTGCTCCCAATCCGGGCCATTTGCATGTGCAAAAGGCTAAAATATACTCTCAAAATATTATAACTTTAATCTTTACTCTCGAAACATTTCGACTTTATTCTCAAAACATTTCCGTCTTTATTCCCGTAGTATTTCGATTTTATTCTCGACTTTAATCTCTTAATCTTAGATTTTTAAAAAAAATTTAACGTGGCGCTAAAACGCCGTCGTAGTTTCCATTCACTTTCACTACAGGGGAAAATGCAGCCATTCAGGTTTGGAACAACATGAGGGTGAATAACTGATTACATTTACTTTCTTTGGGTTATACTCCTTTATTACACATTTATCATCGTGCAGTCATGTCGCATGTATAAAGTCACTAGAAGCGGTATGATGCAAAATCATGACACAGTTATGCTGAAATAGCTTCAATGCTTTGTGTGATATTCAGTACAAAGTACCACATTTGTGCTAACAGCACAATTGGAATATTCTAGTTAAATAAATGTTTCACCTTCTTTTATTCA